TTTCTTTCTTTCTTTCTTTCTTTCTTTCTTTCTTTCTTTCTTTTCTTTTGGATGACCATCTCTCAGATGCTTTAGGCATGGATGTCCTACAATGGCAGGATGTTGAACCACACAAACTTTGGCATCCCTTCAAATTCTATGATCCACATTGTTTGTGCTTGCAGGAACACATGCACACTCCACTTGTAATCTAGAATCTGTCTTGTCTCTTCATCTCAGCTTCATAAGGTAATATTACCAGTTCAGCATTGTACAATAGAGCTCCCTGTATCAATTGGTTCCAAGCCCTTCTGGCTGCTGAAAAAATGCATATTATAGCAAATGCTACATGTACCATAGTGTCTGGGTTCTGGTAATGCTATACATAGCGTGGTCTCTGGCTCCCTCTAGTGGCCAATTCTGGTAACTTCATCTTTAGAAATGTATATCTGTAGGGTTTTTGTTTTAATATTTTTAATATGTTCAGACCACAGATAAGTAAATCTGTGGATACTAATACCATGGATACAGGGGTCTTACTATATATAGATAATTGTTGAGAAGACGCTATAGTTGTAATCCTAACCCCAAAGAAACCAGAAACACTGAGGAATCCCTTAATGGAGAGATCAGAGTTTTTCAACTTCTTTCCATCTGCTCTGGAGAAAAGAGGAGCTTTCAGGAGTAGCCACTGCAGTCAATGGAATGAATGGAACCTCTTGCCAGATTTGTAATTGTTCTCATACATCCTCATTCAGGGTGGAAAGAATTTGATGGTTTAATAAATGAATGAATGAATGAATGAATGAATGAATGAATGAATGAATGACCAATCTGTTATTCTTAGAACATACCCATATTTCTACCTGTAGATACACGGCACTGAAAATTTGATTGACAATGATTCCCTGTAGATCCGTCCTGCAAAGAAAAGTAGGCGTGTGCGTGCTTCATGCAAGATGATAGGGATATGCTACATCTTACATCCATGTCAGCATTTGCCACATGTGAGGAGGCATGACTTGTGACTCGGAGACCTACGAGCAACACATGCATTAGCGGATAGGGGCTTCTGACGTCTGCACTTTGTTTCTGACCCCACATAATTGGAAATAAGGCTTATTCTTCTGACTTACACAGATCATCAAATTTAAATCTTCAGTGATTTAGAGCCCTGTCACAGTAACATTAAGCGCTTGGAGAACAATTGTTCTTGGGAGACTTTCATTTTTCAAACGTTCTGCTCTTAAAAGAAGCTGAAGAAATAAATGAAAACACTGGAGGCTAAACAAACCTTGGAGTTTTTGAAGAGGGCCCTTTTCAGAAGGAAAAGCACCTGCTCAAAGCAATGCCTTGAACCATGACAAATACCATTTGAGTTTCCTCATATATATATTTGCACGATAATGAGAAGGCCTACGTGTAGCAGTTTAAAAGCACCTCAGAGGAATAACTCTTGTGCTGTCAAATGTAATTCTGAAGAACCTTTCCATTTAATAAAAAGAAGGAGACAGGTTCAATTAGTAAGAAATATTCCCCATAAATGAGATTATTTTAAAGGCACTTGCAATGCTATCAAATATTTCCAGTAAATGAACAGCTGTCAAACAACATCATTTGTATCATTTTACTTCCTGTCCCTTTTTAAAAACCCCATTTTATACTTGGTCACTTATTCTGAATATTCCAAAACCCACAGTCACAACTCATGCATAATTGTTCATTCCCACAGGGAAACACCTATACATCTAATGGGTGAGCAAAGTGTTCCAAATATTTATATATTTAAACTCTCTCTGCAGTAGTTGATTCTATCACTGTGCCATAGCAGTACTGAACCAACAAATCTTTTCCTTCATTCTGCCTTCTAAGAGAGAATAGGTGACATCTCCACAGATATCTTTTTGATGAATGTAGCATTAAGTAATGGTTTGTGAAGTGTGATATAGACATTGTAAGCAAACACCATATACATTTTTTTTATTTTGAAAACATTTTTCAAATCAACATTAATTCTTGCTAACTCAAGAAAAAAAAAGGAATAATAGGAACTATGGTGGGTATTAAGATCTACTGTTATGCCACTGTTATTGCCATCCCAACACTATTATGCCAATTATGTTTGGAATGAGTGGACAGATTCTGGAGTTGCCACCATGATGCCTATTCAAGCAGTCAAGTTCCCTGTGAATAAAATATTAAGCTCAGCAGACAAGAACATTTCCACCAGTATTGTAGATCTCATTTGCATCCTCTCTCAATTCTTCATTTGATGTCGGGTGAAATGGGAAGTCCATAGTCCTATTTCTACCATGTACATCTTGGCGGCTTGGGTTTCTGTTGGATACATGCCAATAGCACTACCTTTGACTTCTGCTTCCCTCTTTTATTGCAGGCTGAAATCTGTTGTGTGAGGGCTCTCTCTGTTGCCGTCTGTTCACCATCACCCAGCAGATTAAGAGATGATTCCAAGTATCCCAAATCCAAGCCCACAAGCATTTGGCAGATGGTTCTGTGATGAGTAACAAGCATTTTGGAAAGGAAATCCATCTCCATTTCTGATCAGCATTTTGGAGGTCATGTCTTGTGAAGCAGATAATAAACTTCATATAATATGTTTTTGACAATGTTCTTGACAAAACTATACAATTAAACCATTATACCCAAACCTTCTGTCCTTTGTCTGTATCTGAGCTTGGAAAAATTAATGACAATGCTGGCTGAGTTTTTCTGGAAGTTTTAGTTCCTGAAAGTAACTTTTTCCACGGTCTGACATCTCTCTGTCTCTCTCCCTCTCTCTCTTTGGCGTGTTGAGATGTTCAGGAAAGAAGAATCTTACAATGAAATTTCACAGATTTTTAGCTCAAAGGCCATTTGAAACAGTCCATTTGAAATCAGATCCAGTATTAGGATTCCACCAGAAGATATCTAATTCATCTATCTTACTGACAGTGTCCCTTTAAATTTTGGCAAGAAATACTGCAGCAATTATTTTAGCATCTGTCTCACAGGAGTAAATCTAAAGTTGCTTGGGTGGCTCATCCATTCTTGGTTTTAGCTTGAATTTCAAAGGATCTAGCCAAGGTGCTGAACCCTATTAACAAAAAGGCAGTTTGAATGGTGATTTGAACGTTCAGACTGAAACCTGAAGTTTATTTGTGACTACCACAACATCAGAGACACTTGCCTTCACTGGTGTGTAGAATGAGACACCCTCATGCTTTGGTGATGCAGTCTCTCCTTGTTCCTACTGGATATACAAGACATATTGTTCACAGCTCTCTCTTTTACGTTCTTGTTGCTCTCCCATAATGGAAGGAGATGATTCTCTGAAGCAAAGTACTGCACCTTCTTTAAATTTTCCTGCACTCTGAGGGAAACTGAGGAGGGCTTCTCTCTTCCACTCTGGCAAAAGCAATCAGAAATGCTCTATGAGTGTGGAAGCTACATGCTAGGAGTTACACTTAACATTATACTCTTTCAGCATGAAATGGAAAAATACCATTACAGAAAGTCTGAATCAGCCACAGAATTTTTTCTACTGGCTGTGACAGAATATTGCTTCCACTGCATCCTGTTGCAGCCAACAATGTAACCACACTGCAGAACTATATGATGCCTCAGATTTGAAGTCTTGCTTCGTTTGACACTTGATTTGCTCAATACTTTAGAAAACATGTAGGTGGGGAGGCAAAAGCTTTCCCTGTACTATTATACATCAAAGCCATATCATCACCTACTAGGAAGCAGATCTAAAACCACAGTCAACCCGAAGATACTGCTGTTACCTGAGAGATTCTGGGAGTTGCAAGTTTAAAAAAAAACACCCTCCAACTTTTCTCACCTCCAAAAAGTAACATTTCTAAGCTCTGGTTTCCTAAACTGGTGCTGCAAATTCTTTAGATTTACTGTCACAATTGTTAGCTGTGATGTCAAGGGCTGTGGGCTCACTCCCTATTAAAACATCTTGAGGCTTGTTAGAGAGGCAGCAGCTAGAATAGACTGGGTTGGCAAGGCAAATAACCAAAGGTCTTTGAAATAATCTGGTTTCCAAATAATATAAAAAAGTAATACATATTAGCTCCATTTTTTTCTTTCTCAGCCCCTGAATATTGCTGACAAAATTCTCAGATTATTGCTAAATTACAAAAGTAACAGAAAATATTCTAAAGTAATATTTTGCAACCATAAATTCCAATTTTGGCAATGGCTGATTTCAGATGTCACAGCTGTGGTCTGATAAATCATGCTTTATCAACACCCACCCACCCTCTTTCTAGTGTGTTATTTTGGTCGCCTTTTTTGGGGCCGGATAGGAATTTTTGACCTCTATCCTGATTGGCTTTTGGATGGGGGGATTTTTCACCTATCCCACACTGGAGAAGGGTTGTTGGCATTTGATGGTGGTTATCCTCGGTCACACTGGCGGGTAGTGCTGGAAAAACTGGTTGTCTCAGTGTGTCCCTTTGATAATTATGCTAAGCCAACAGCACATCAGACCTACAGGCTCTGCGGATCGTGTGATTACAGGGTCGGAGGCGGCAAGATGCGCTGGGCCACTTTCGGACCGACAGTCATCAAATATCGATGGCTCGAGGTCCGGGGTGTTTAATAGAGGCCTGCCAGGTTTCTCCTGTCATCAAGACAGCTGGAACCTGGGGCCTGGGACTCGCCCATTGACTGATAAGGGGATCATGGATGCCATGCAGTTCTTTCTCCGCACTACCGCAGGCCCCCTCAATTTAGGAAGAAATTGATTGATATAATCATAATGGATTTAATAAAGTGTGGCCCGTATTTAATCCAAGTCACTGTCTTGCATCTTCATTTTGGGACCTGGGAGGGCAAAGAGCAACTAATGTTATCCCCTCTGATGCATTACCTGTTGAGGTAGTAAGGCCACAATCGCGGTCTCAGGGATGTTGGCAAGTTGTCCAACCTGAGTCTCAAGTCTAAATCCAAGTCTTGGAGTCCAAGTCCTTGGGTCCAAGTCCCAAGCCTCAAGTCTGAGACATGCGTTATTTCCTCTGCCCCCTCAGGTAGCAGGCCCTAATCTCCTGGAAGGGAAGCCATGCCTCCTGTCCCTGAAGATGGCCACCACTGCTGAGGAGAAGGTCAGAGGGGGCGCATGGCACCTGCTGGCCTGGCAGCTGCAGCTCCCCCACTGCAATGCCTGCTACTGCAACTGCCTCCCCTCTTACCTGTGCCCCCTCTTACCTGTGCTGGGGCTGTCTTTGTCTCATCCTCCTCCTCCGTACCCCAAGATCACGAAGGAAGAGGAGAAGGTAGGGTCAGGCCCTTCACCCTGTCTTAGCAGTCTCATGAGAGGGTGAAGGCATCTTGAAAGGGAGTCACCAGGGGAGGGGGGGTGAAGACTTCCATAAAGACCCCACTCACCCCTTTGGCTCACCCAGAAGATGGCTGCCTCGTCCAAGGCAAGTTGAGGCTTTCCTTTCTCCTACCTCCCCTCATTTTTAAAGAAAAGAATCATATTTTTTAGCCCCTGTTCTTGTAATGGAAACCTGCAGGTCTGTAGTAAAACCATAGAGACTTAACAACGTGACTTGGACTTAATAGCTCTGAGTCACAAGCTGAGTCAGTCTCTTTTTTTTAAGTCAAGTTGAGTTTGAGTTGCATTGCTAATGCAACTTGAGTCAGAGTCAACTGCAAGTCGCACATTGCAAGGCTTCATCCTTGGGCAGTTGTTTTGAAAATGACTTAATGGCTGGTAACATTTTTACTTTCCTCTTCCCCCACATAACAAGGGGCGCTCATTTCCTACTTTGGGAGATAACAAAAATGGAGAGAATTTCCCTCCCCCCCCCGAGTTTTAGACTATTTTCTTATTTTTATTTTAATGGGGGAAAAGAAACATAGAAGTAACAAGTAACACAGTGAGTAATGTAACTGATTGTTTTTTTCATGTAACTGCAGTGAATAACAATAGCTAGTTACTTCTGAAAACTGTAGTGAGTCATAGTAAATGTGCCTTCCTTGCAACAGCTGATGGGAGGAGGGCTGGTTGGGGCAAGCGAAGAGGCCTGCGGAGCACCCCACACCAAAGCTCCTTGCTTCAGCTTTCATGTCATGTTGAATAAGGGGGTTCAGAATTCATGATGCTTCACATTGTGGAAAATCCTGTTAGCTTAACTTTAACCCCTGGATTGCGCCTTTAAATTCATGGGAAGTTTCTTATCACACACACCCCTTTCACTTTTGAAGTCTTGAGGGCTCTCCTTTGCTCTCGGCATTTGAGAACCTCTGGATGGGTTCGGATAGCCTTTTAAAAAATGGAAAAAAAATTGCTACCAGCAGCATTTTATTTTATTTTATTTGCTAATAAGGTCTTCCAGTGCCATGTTCTGAGGATCCCAAAGGCTTCCAAAGGGAAAAAGGGTGCCCTGGAGAGCCTCAGAACCTGAAACGGGGGGGGGGGGGTTGTAGGAAAAATTCCATGAGCTTAAATTAAATGCTTCCAGAGCCTGATCCAGTTTGTGCTGGCATAAAGTTACACAACAGGATTTTGCCCACTGTAAGATTTCAGTCTTCCAAATCTCAAGAGAAATGTGAATTTGGAGTGGCTGGCTCTTTTTAGGGGCTGACCACAGAAGCAGTGGCCTTATTGTCTAGGGGCATCCAGTGAGTGTTTGTTGTTCTTAGAGTTTGGGGGGGGGAATCCTCCTTATGTCAACTGGATTGCTGTCCAGGGGTTAGTTTGTTGTTCTTAGAGTTTGGGGGGGGGATCCTCCTTATGTCAACTGGATTGCTATCCAGGGGTTGCCAGTTTTGTTTTGTTTTGTTTTGTTTTGCTTTTTGCCCAGCCACCTTGTCTCCATGCTTGCTTAATATCATGGACAACGTTTGTTGATGCTCAACATGATTGCTGTGCCATGAATTTTCTTGTTTCATGTTTTAGGTTTGGATCAGATGGAAAAGGCGAAAGAAGGCGGGATGCAAAACTGGGTCTCCAGTTTTGGGAAATCAGGTTGGCATTGGCTCAAATGACTGGTTTCAATAACTGGCTCAACGGTGAGAATCTTCTCTTGCCGATGAGTATCTAAATCCCATACTAGGGTTTAGGCAGCACCACCTCTCCTCCCTTCTCAGTACTTTCAAATTTGATTTATTTGTACACCCTGTAATAATAAATGGTGACAGTTTTATACCCTACTTAATAAGTGAAGTTACTTCTTTCCATCTTTACTATACTGATTCCTTTCAAAAAAAAAAAAAAAGGAAGTAAAGCTTTGGATGGTGCATATAGCTCATTTCTAGCTCAGAAAAAGGTGAATTATCCTCAGATCAAGATGAGGATGGTTGGGCTCAACCAATATTATTTTGGCATTGTATCATTTTCCAGAGAGGTCTATGAGTGGCATTTGAGACGGCTGCTGTATTCTGTTCATCAGTTTAATCCCTTTACTTTCCGATGAATAACCCATTTCAGCAGCACATTTTCACATACAACACTCCTTTAGAAAGTAAATCCATGAGCACAAAGCTCTGGAAGATGGCAATAAATGTCACCCCCCCTCCTTCTGCTTTTTTTTCACCATGTTTCATGTCAAAGAAGCTAGTTGTCTTTAGAATTACATTCTTAGATCAGCCCTTCTGATCTCTCTCCCCACTAGAAAAAAAACACTACTTCGCTGCTATTATAAC